AAAGACATAACAAACAGCTCCAGATATGTTTTTGATGTGGATATGGTTAAAATCTCTAAAAAGTCTATGTTGAATGATGAAGGCCCTTTGTTAACAATTTACTTGGAAAAAAATTGGCAAAACTAAAATATAAGTACATAAACCGATTAATCGATTAGTCGTAAAAATAATCGCTTGATTAATCGATTATCAAAATAATCGTTAGTTGCAGCCCTACTGAACGCAATAAATTTTTTTTTATAAAGAACTTGAACGTGAATTAGTTCACATTATGTGTCATGAACGGCAGACATCACTGTAAATGAACCTTGGAATGTGTTTTCCTTTGAAAACTGAGTGACATCGGTTTTCTCTTTCCTCCCTCTTGTATTCTCACTGGTGCTGCTAAAATCATGTATCACCTAACCTGGCCTGTAGGGGGCGAATGAGCAGAGATGGGACAACTCAGTTTTGCTCCCATTGAAAAAAGTAAAATTAACTGAACTTTGAACTAGTTCAGAATTAAAATTGTGAACTTTGAACGTGAACTGTTCACTTTGAGCATGTATGAACTGAACTTGAACTTGTTCAGAAAAGCTGTGAACTGGTACAACACTACCTCTTGAAGCTCATCAAGAGAATGCCAAGAGTGTGCGAAGCAGTATCCAGAGCAAAAGGTTCTGCTTTGAAGAACCGAGAATAGAGACATATTTTCAGTTGTTTCATACTTTTTTTTGTACGTACATAGTTCCACATGAGTTAATTCATAGTTTTGATGCCTTCCGTGTGAATCTAAAACTTTCATAATCATGAAAATAAAAAACTCTTTGAATGAAAATCTTTAGAAAATGGCCATTTAAAATCTGCCATTGGTCAAACTTGAAAAGATTGGCATAGGTCACAGTAAACCCATCAGTCGATCTCCACCTGAAATATGATGCTGCTTGTCAAAATATGCATCACTCAAGCAAATTTGATTTGTTATCACAGTTTACAGTGTTCGAAAGTAGAAAGTGGACACATTTGTTTGGGTAAAAATGACAAGATCTATGGAGCTGCTCCAGACAGGCTTTGGCATTGACGCATGTGTCACACACAGAACATAATGTGGAAGAGAGATGCAGTAGAAGTGTATAGTTTCTCCTGACTGTTAATAAACTGTAACTCGTGCTTTAGTGGATCACATGAATGAGGCCAAGTTACATGGGTGGATCTGAGGAGAACCAGGTGCCCCAGTGGCAGGGCTGACATGATAACCTTATTCTCATTTTTTTTTTTTAAAGAGGAATTTTCACCTAAAGGCCTTTCCTTACACACTGATCGACACAGGCAGGCGTGTCAAAACAACTCAACATTTAACTAGCAGCTCTGACCCGATACTTAGATATGGTCAGGAGAAGGTTATAAAAGTACACACAAAGGACAACACTTTGTATATTGACAGCATAACAAGCGTTTGGGCTTTTGCTCTTTCCTTTATGAACATGTTCATAAACAAAATATGTTGGAATGTGAACATATGTATATATTGCTGTGGATGATACACTTGTCGTTGTCCATAATAATGCAATTCTCTCAATCCCTAGGTCCATTGAAACAACTTTAGAAGACTGATTTTGACCCTTTTATTTTAGTGATGAGCTGACGTGGGTCAAAAACACTCACTGACCTTTCCTACTGGTATTGCAGATCATTCAAAATTATGCAGACATGACAAAAAGGTAAACAAAATAAAAAGTAATAACAATATTTTTATGGACCGAAAATTTGATTTCCTGTCTATAAAACACACTTTCATATTATCAATCAACTAATGATTTATGTGTCACATTAGAGGAGTTATTACCAGGTTTACAACATGGAATCCCGAGTGATGTCATAAGTTTACAACAAAGAAAAGAAAACTGAAAAACTGGAAAAATATAAAGCGTAGATAAGATAAACCGTCCATCCCTCAGTGGGGAAATTTTAATGTCAGAGTTGTGCACATTACAATAAAAAGTAGTTGGCATGAAAATCTTACATATTGCTACTAAGGATGTACCGATCCGATATTCAGTATCCGTATCGGGGGCCGATATGGGTATTTTGTAAGGATCAGATAATATCGGATTTGTTAAATATGAAGCAGATTTACGTCACTTTTCAGCATGCTCACGCTTTACGGCTACCGTAAACTAAATACAATGTAAAACTAGGGCTGGGCGATAAAACGACAACGAGATATATTGCGATAGACACGTGTTCGATATCAATAGAAAACGGGGTCGATAGAATTTTAGTTTAACATCAATCCAGGACGAAAACACAGGAAGTAAAGCCGAGTCAGAGGTGCGCTGCATTCTGGGGGATGTAGGCAGAGGCTTCTCGACCTATCACAGCTAAGCGTGAACCGCAAAACTTTCTGGGAAATGCAAAAACAACAACCGCACAATGCGGTCTACATGGATCTAAAGATTGTTTTTCAATGCCGTGTCAATGGTTAGGCACGTCCGTGCGAGGCTTAGCATGTGCGGTGTGGCAGAGGCAGACACAGAGACCTGGTGCATGCGGCAAAAGCAAGAGATGAACTTTTCCCTCCGTGTGGCTATCAGAGAGCGGCCGCACAGAGTCGCCATGGGGACACAAAACAGGAGATAAACCAGGATTTCACCAGGACTAACTATGGGGGAGACTGCTTGTGAACAAATTCCTCGAGCCTCATTCCCCATGACTGTAAACAAGGCTGCTAACGCTTGTTTGCCGACATGACAAACGTATCGGATCGGTATCGGCAAAACAATATTCAAGAATATCGGAATCGGATCGGATTACAAAAAATTTGGATCGGTACATCCCTAGTTGCTACTTTAAAAATAGTATGACATTTATATGATTTTTAAAGTAACAATATGTAAGATTTTCATGTCAAATCATCATCAATTGGCCCTAATCTGTCAAAAGACATTGATAAAACATGCTCCTTTCAAATACTTCTTTGATAACAGTGGTTCCACATGAGTTTTACAGCCCCTAAATCTTGTTATTGTTTTCATTTTGATGTCCCGCCCCAATCAGAAAGTCTGTGATCCGGTTTGCCGGAGCTCACTGTGTCAAGCTGATATCACTGGTAAAGTAACATGTGGCTGCAGGACTAAAGACGGTCTTGTTATGAGACGTCTCAAATCCTTAATAGCAAAACAAGGAATAAAACTAGGATTTCTATTGAGGATGGCTTTGGGGAAAAAGGTGTTGGTTATAGATTTGTTGTTGACAAAACTCTTATCTATTCAGTTATTATGGTCCCAGCTGAATTCGTTTGCATGTCTGGCAACCTGAGTCAGGGAGCGTGCAGCACCACTTTTCAGAATCAGAATCATTTTTATTGCCACGTAAGTAACAAACAAAAGTTGCCACTTGGAAATTGTTTTGGCAGAGAGCGAGCCACTTCGCCATTTGCTGCGCTGTTTTGGCCATATTTTTACATATTTCTCCTTTTCAATGTAAATGTTGGAATGACCTATACCTAGAAATATGGAGGGATGGATGGCAGACAAGACTTCTATAATTTTATATATATATATATATATATATATATATACACATACATATTGTTATGTTTCCTTACAGTGTCAGCGTCTGGCGTTTTGAACATAAATGCATCTTATTGTAGCAGTGACCTGGTCCTGTGAGACCTGTTCTCTCATGAGCTCATCCTCAAACCAGTTCTTACTGGTTCAGCCACAGCTCCAGTATCGGCACAGAGAGGAGAGGGAGGCACATGCAGGGGAGATGCATGTGCCTCCCTCTCCAACATTTATGAACAAGAGGACTGTGGTCATTGTGGTCACAGTGATGTAGGTGTCAGTTTTACCAGCAGCAATTAAAACGTGAGGTTCATTAAGAAAAGATAAGACGTCCTCATTTTGACAAAAATTATGATCTATCACCTTTCTCCTAAATGTCTAGTATTTCGGATCCAATTGAAAAGAAACAATCACAAGAGATATTTTATATGATTTTTGTAAATGATGCAACTGAAAAACACACAATTCATTTGCCTTTGCTGCCACCGTGTGTTTATTATGTCCACCTACAACTTTTAACCAGGTGAAGTTTTGTTGGAATATTTTATCTAGTTAACTAGCGTATTAGTTTGTTAGTTGGAGATGAAAAAAGGCTGATCATGTTATTTACAATCATTTAAAACATATTTCAATCAATCAAAAATAATGTTTTTGTAAAGAACAATCTGTGTAGAGGGCAACCCAATCCAAGCAAGATAAACTAAAATCTCGAATGAAAACAAATATTCTCTGCAAATAAAAATAAAAACAAATATTAAATCCCAGAATTTAAAAAATCTACATCGGAATGCCAATACATTTTACCCACACTGTGTTGAAAGTCCTGCGCAGCTAAACAGAACAGTTTCATCCTCGATTTGAACATTGCCAGAGTACAGTAGTGGCCAGACGCACATTTCCTCAGATTTTAGTTGCATGAAAAAAACACTGACTCCCCATGGTGAGTCCTGGCTCTGGGCACCAGCAAGAGGCCAGTCCCTGTGCTCCTCAGTGTCACAGCAGGAGGCCAGTCCCTGTGCTCCTCAGTGTCACAGCAGGAGGCCAGTCCCTGTGCTCCTCAGTGTCCCAGCAGGAGGCCAGTCCCTGTGCCTCCTCAGTGTCCCAGCAGGAGGCCAGTCCCTGTGCTCCTCAGTGTCCCAGCAGGAGGCCAGTCCCTGTGCCTCCTCAGTGTCCCAGCAGGAGGCCAGTCCCTGTGCTCCTCAGTGTCCCAGCAGGAGGCCAACTATCATAAATGTACCTTGGTCCGTTGAATATGAGCAAACTGGCACATGGCTATAACACATTGTAACCCACAGTGTAAAGCGGGTGACCTTGGTCTGTAAAATGTGCTATATAAATAAACATAACTTACTAACTTACACAGTGGCTCTTGACTACTTTTTATTTGTACTTGTGTATACATATGTAAACTTTAGACCATGGGAGTAACTGGTTTTCTTCTGTGTGCGTCTGCAGTTTGACCTGAACCAGCTGATACCCTCTGTGAACGGCAGCCAAAGCCTCAGCCCGGTCCATCGAGCCCCGGAGTCCCCTGGTGTGAGCAGCGTGGGGGGCAGCAGCAGCAGCGTGGGGGGTTCCAGTGTGGGCGGGGCCAGTGTGGGCGGGCCCAGTGCAGCGGGCATGGAGCCTTCACCCATCGATCGGGCCAAAGGGTTCTTCCCCGACGAATCAGAGCCGCTGCTGCGCTGTGACTCCACGTCCAGCAAAGACTCCGCTCTCAGCAGGAACGGCTCCTTCATTACCAAAGGTTAGACGCACAAAACAACAGGTTTCAGTTCCTGGGAAAGAACTCTCTGGGCAATAGTTGATCGTGAATAACATTTAAACATCTGCAGCAAATATGGATGGACTTTTGACCCATTTAAGATAAACAATAACTGTCACTAAATTAGTCATTAGTAATTAGATAATAGTAAGTAAGTAAAAGAAATTTAAATTTGCAAAATTATGTTAAAAAAAAATCATTACCACAAAAATTAACACATTTGAAAGTAACCTGTTTTATATCACAACTTAGTTTGAATATTTATTTGACTAATGAAACAAACTAGCTCCACACATATGTTGGCCCTATTTGGTGTTCTATCTCATTTTCATAGTACATTTTTGTATTTAATATATTGGTGCATGTATTGTCTCACAATATCAGCACACTTGGATTGCTGTAAATTCCTACACCTTATGGAAGCCTTAAAAACACTACAGGGAATTTTTGACTGAAAAGTAAAACAGATCAATTCATGATTCAAAATGAAGACCGTATTTTACAGTAATGGCTCACAATGGTCCTATTGTTGAGCATAATGATAGTGTTATTTAATGCTGACTAATCCGACACGACAGTCCCGCCACACGAGCTCTGATTACAGAATACAGTTCATACTCTGCCCCCGTGTGGAAATTCACGTCATTACATTGTTGGAATAATACACTACACAAGATGCATTGATCATGTAATGTGTGGGAAATACTTCCTTTTGCAATGATTTGAAAAAGACAATCTATACATTTTTACAGGGACAGTGTACAATAAACATTAGCTAAGAGGAGAGATGCTTTGTCCCAGGTTGTAGCAGCAGAGCTAATTTACACCTGTGGACCCTGAGCAGGTCGTTATAAAAAATTAATTATAAGTAGATGGATATATGACCGTACATTATTAGACAGAAATTACAATTTAATTCACCTCAAGTTATAATAAAACCGTACATTATTAGACAGAAATTACAATTTAATTCACCTCAAGTTATAATAAAACTACCCAGCCCCATTTTTCATTTTCTCTACATTCTCTACAGTCTTGTAATAAGCTCACGTTCTTAATGCGTGTGTTTGTGTGTGTGTGCGCGCAGAGAAAAAGGACACGGTGCTACGGCAGGTGCGTCTGGACCCGTGCGACCTGCAGCCGATCTTCGACGACATGCTGCACATCTTAAACCCGGAGGAGCTGCAGGCGCTGGAGCTGATCCCCAGTGCGGAGGACAAGCTGGACCGCCTCTTCGAGATCGCAGGCGTCAAGAGCCAGGAGGCCAGTCAGACCCTGCTGGACTCGGTCTACAGCCACCTGCCCGACCTGCTCTAGACCGCATCACCGCCTTTAAGCTCTCGAACCGGATCCAGTCCAGTCCGGAACCAGATCTCAACACACAAAAACCAAGAGCCGCTCCAGAAGGGATCCAAACTATGTAACAAGCGCACACTGCAAAAAAAGAGATAATTTTAACGGGAATAACTCAATTTAACCAGTTTTTATTTTTTATTTGAGTGAATTTTGAACTGAAAAAAGGATTTGCCAATGGTACAAGCAAGTCAACCCTTTAGGCACCAAAGTAGCATCATTTTTGTATCCTTTTTGCATCCTAAGTCCAAAACACTTTCTATACAGCGACCTGAGTTCCCACAACACATTCCCCTACATTCTTACATTTTTATATTTTATTTATTTCTGTTATTGATTTTAGTAGCTCTCTATCTCTTGCAAAGCTTCAGGTCTCCACCCTGTTTTTCCATTTCACATCAAATTCCCAAAAAAAAAAAAAAAATAATACTTTGGCGCCTAAAGGGTTAAGTCCTATTTCAAGCCTTGTGTGGCCTTTTTTCCCCCCTCATGTTTGAAAAGCGCTTGCCATCTAAGTAAAAGAAAACGTTTTATGCTTGTTCTATTGGTAATTTCTGTTAAAATATTCACAAATCAAAAACGAATTCTACTTTAGAGAAGCAATTATGAACTATTCTTTTGAAGATATATTTTTTGCAGTGCGCTGATTTTATAATAACTAAATAACATGGAAATCTAAAACACAAGAATTTACTTTCAGTCCATACAAAGATTGGAATTTGTTCACGTTGGAATGAAAATAAAATCTTCCATAATTGTAATATATTATACGGCCATAACTCACGATTGACCCATACTGCGATATAACCCAGCAGTGACTCTATAGTTCCAGTGAGCTATTATGAAACAGTGGTTAGGCTTCTCCAATCATGATATCAAATGTCCAATAATCTCGTAGGTACGGTTTAGTAAATGGCATATCCTGGAACACGATCAAGTAAACGCAGTCATTGTGTTTTCAGACAGCTCAGACGGTGACTACACTCCAAACCTTATGTCTTCTGCACACAATGCTTCCCTTTCTGCAGGGCCCACCCAGCTTTCTTAACCATGCGCTCATTTAAGGTAGTAATGAAAAAAAAAAAAAAACTATTTTCATTTGCTCTCGTTTAACTTTCTTATCTTCTGTTTCATGAAATCATAAGCACTTTGTTTCAAATATCTCAAGAAGAAGGTGGCAGCACGAGCAAACTGGTTAAGCCGAGATCCGTCTACTCCATGTTACTATAAGCTACACTTTGGACAGCACTGGTCGGCGGGAGTAGAAGTGAAGAAAATAACTCTTGTCAATTTAATTTTCAGTTACAGTACGTGCCTATAAACTTGAGACATGGCTTTCCATATGTGGTTTTATTGTGTCAAGACCAGCCGCTGTTTTTTACATACTATTGTCATGGTGTGGATTTTTGTTTCTGTGTTTTGTTTTATTTTGACAATGGTTGTCTGGTTGTCTGGTTTCATTTCAGTTTTGCTTCATGTCCTGTTCCCCTGTCTTGATTGTCTGCCACGGCCTGATGTGATTCACCTGTGTCTGTGTCTATATGGTGGGGTGAGTGAGGACTCAAACGCCAGAATGCCAAAATAAAGATTTCATAAAATAAAATCCAAGGTAAAAACAAAACAACCAGGGACACAGGAACAGGACAGAACAGACCTTGACATGAACAAGACAATGAAGCAGCAACAAGGGGAGAGAAACACAGGGTACATATAGACACAGACACAGGTGAATCACATCAGGGCGTGGCAGACAATCAAGACAGGGGAACAGGACTTGAAGCAAAACTGAAATGAAACCAGACAACCAATGTCAAAATAAAACCAAACACAGAAACAAAAATCCACACCATGACAACTATGCCGTTCCCTTCGGTTACATACAGTCACTATGGGGTTGTATTGGATTGTAACGGATGTAGCTACTGTACATAATGCTCTACAAGGCATGCTCTCCAGGGTCAGAGTCAAAAGGCAATTTCGCATGATGAAAGAAAAGGCAGGAGAATGAAGCTGCTTGTTCCATCGCCCAAGTTAAGATATATAATGATAGTTTAGCAAGTTTGAAACTGTTTTTCCACACTGCGTTCAGAACCTTTCAGACATCTATCTTGTGTTTACAGTTGCATAACCGAGATGTCAGACAGCTCTCAAAAGGAGGGAGTAGAAGTATGAGGCTTATAAACAAGTTTTGTGAGCCATCCATTTTGTGCACAAACTTCATTTCCGATGTGTCCTAAAGAATTTGACAGTCTATCTGACACTTACATCTCATACCTGAACGGAACTCACTGTGGGTCCCGTCGAGATTCAGGTTATACATTCTGTAACAAGCACAGAGTTCCCAAAAGTATGGAAGCATTTTTTATGGAAATATTAGTTATCATATGTGTACAGTGTCATTTTAACTGACTAATCAAACTCTGTCAAGTCTTTGGGTTCATACAAGGTCCGCATGGGTATAACAGGGGGTTCATGAATGAATTTCAAAACTTGCAAATAGTTGGGCTGTGGCATGCAATTTGTCATTGTGGACTGTGAAGCGCTCTATAAGTAAACATTGATTGATTGTAAAGCTAATTTTGGCCAGAAAATACAAATCAATTATTTTTTTCAAGACATGTATTTTTTTTTGTCCAATTTTGGTTTTGGCATTTTGCACAAAGAAAATGGAGACGGAACAGTAAAGCCTATAAACAGTTGCCGTCTCAGTTGCATTTTAACAGCAGGGGTTACAGTGATTTTGGGGGTACACAGGAATACGAAGGTTTTGAACCAAACTCAATAATTAGGAAACATTTCAGAAGACTTCATTGTCACAACTCTTGTACTTTACATTTTGTATTTGTTTTCATGTCGAGAAGAGGCGATGTTCAAGCCGATGCATCCCTAGCTTTTTCTAGATAATCCTCATGATAATTCCTTGCGTATATGTCAGCTACTGCCGTTGCTAAGATACAACCCCATATCTAAACTCATTTAAGCAATAGCGTGAACATGGTCTTGACGCACAATGCACAGTTTCTTGTCTTGTTTATTCTAAAACATTATATTTAAACTTATGCACTGATTATTGTTTTAATATTTCTCAACTTATTTTGTATTATTATTATTATTAAGGTATTTTGGTAACTTTGACTGTAGCATTTCATTGTTATTTTGTTGATGGGCATTTCAAATATTCAACCACTTGTGCGACTCAGGTGGCATGTATGCATACTCCTGTCAGTAATCCTTGGTTACTTGATGGAAAACAGATGATGAATAAACTTAAATGTACTTTTTTTATTTTTTTCGAAACCTTAACACCACCAAAAACTGTTCCACTGTGGCTGGAATCAACTTGGTGCTGAACATGGACTATCACCGTTGGCCTACTAATAATGATAATAATATTAATAGTATTTAACCTTTTTCCAGGCTGAAGAAAAGACTGTGGAAGTGGGTGAAAATGCTGTGGAAATCTGACTTGGTTTGGATGTTTTGGGATTGAGATTTGAGTGTTGGACAAGAGATGTAACTGGTATGTTTACTATGATGTAATCTCTGACCTGAATCAAATAAAGCTCAGTATATTTGTCATAATCTGTTGTGACTGTTGTGTATTTCACAAATGGGAGGGACGTTTAGTAGTGCACATTTCTTTAGGTCATCAAAAAACAGTTAAGTGTAAACTGTGCATGCGACATCACTACACAAAATTCACTTTCTAGTCTCAGTCAAAGTGTAACTATCACTGCAAATGTGTATGAAAAAATACGTCAAAAAAATGCTAAAATTAGCTCAATGTGATTGCCGCACATTTTTACTGCCTTAAAACAAGATTTGCCGATGGGACAAGCATTGGTTGAAACAGCTACAAGACATTTCTACTTTGGAATGGGAAGACATTTCTTGTACCTTGTTTTAAGACAGTCAGAATGTACTAAAATTAAGGAAAATAAACTTGATTCAAGCAATTATAACCTCACTAAATTATGTTTTGCAGCGGTGGTTTAATCATTTTCTCATAACGATGGAATGGGGTGGTAATATATTCTAAAAAACAAAAATGCATTATGTTGTCCACAAGGACTTTTAGATATAATAAGAATAATAATATTATAGGGGGCTTTGTGAATGTAATCTCTATAACATCATTCTCTGGGACAACATTTGGACATTTCTTTCAAACTGAATACAATTCTAGAGCATGAATACATAGATCTTCATCAGCAAGTATACGCTCTTTAACATAACAATGCAAACTACAAATCAGCAATTACGGCCATGTTTTTATTGTGTGACCCTAAACACTTGCTTGAGGACTATTTACTCCTCCAAACCCGGATTACACTTATGTCGCTTTAAGAGAAAGAAGTCATTTATTATTGATCCACATTTTCACACTTGACCCTCCCTTCTTGTTTCACACCTGTGGAGCCTTTAGACAACCGCACATTTGCATACAGTTGGCTTGTGCTTAAATTTCAGTATTTATATTCCGGTAACATCTTTCACCAAGTTTGCTTCATCATGAGCTGCAGGGAACTATGGCAGGTAAGAGAAGGCGTTTTTTAGTGAACCTTTTATGCCATGTGTGTGTTTTTGATAAGCTACTCCCTGTGTACTGATTATAGCTTTGGCTAAAAGGCCCCAAAATGTTGGAAGATTAAGGGAAATATTTGTCATAAAAGACAAGGTACAGTACATAAGATACAGTATTATGATTGCATTGCCATGGCTTAGTCACAAGTGTTGGTGAAAAGATTCAGAGGAAGCTGATGGTTGTGCTGTTTAGGTGCTTAAAAACGAAAGGAAATGAAAATTAAGCTGAGTACAGAGGGGGGGTGATCCATGACTTTCACAGGAGCCCTTCCCATCAACCGGTCACACTAAATGGTCAGCACATTGAAGTGGTTCAGTTACACAAATACCTGGAAGTCCACATCGAACATAAGCTGGACTGGTCAGCTCAGGCAGATGAT